CCCCGCGAACATCTGGTTCTTTATTCGATGCACTTTTAGCATATTTTTAGATAGAAGTGGAGATCAAGATGGGTAAATCCCAATATTCCACGGGTGTGTACTTAGTGCAAAAGTAATGTCTAAAATGTGTCCACGGGCAATGCCGGACAATACCCGCTAGCAATATATAAATATATATTCCTGATCAGCTAAGTCGCCCGTCCATTTCGAAAACAACGAGACCTACCTGGCTTGTAATTATGTGTTTCCATATACCATGAGCAGCAAAACTTTGATCGATATCTCCTCTCATATTGTTGATATCGATAAATATCGATTTTAAGACTTGCATAACTCGAAAACTATAAGCGCTCGATACTCTAAACTTGGTATGCATGGTACGGTATATGCATATGAGAAATAATTCAATTATTGGATGCCTGCCCCCAAAAAACGCATTCTTCAAGCTTAAGTCTTGGGCCTTGGTATATGACAAGTTTTGTGTGTCTGAGCTAAGTCCAGAAAATTTCATAAAGATTGTTCCAGAAGCGCCTCAGTTAAGCCAGAATGTAATGCTCATAGGCTAGGGGAAGAAGAAGAAGGCGTGCAGCCTGAGGGGGAGCTGTGTTTGCAGGACATCTCCCCAGGATATCTCCTTGTCTTTCGACTAGAGCACCCTCTAAATAAGATTTGGTTTGATTTGCGGTTCGACTGAGATTCGAAGCATGATAGAATATAAATTGGAATTCCGTATGCGGACCTCTTCACAGTTTAAAAGCCACTGCCAACAGTTTAAGAGTCAGCGAAGAACTGCTTTCAGCTCGTGTTGCATAGCGAACAGGGTATCGTACAATCGCTTACAGCCGGCTGCAGGATTTTGACTGACCCGAAGGATGCCCAGCCGAAGCGTGATCTGCATTATGCACACCTCTCCGGGATTAGCCAGGCCAGTCGCCAGTTGCCAGTTGCCCATTAAACGCCTGACGAGCCGCATAAACAATCTAATCCAACTGCCTCCTACACAGCGCCTCCGCCTCCTCCGCTGTCCGTCATCAGTTGCCCAATTACGCATCCACTTATGACTAAATAGACGCACCTTTTTTCTGTGGCCTTTACCTGGGCCAGGCACACACACGCCCCTGCTGGCCGTGGCCGGACCAGAAATCATTGCGTAACTAGGCGCGTCCACGAGAGCAGAGCAAAGCAGAGCAGAGCAGGGGATAGCAGGGGAGAGGTGAGGAAAGATAAAATAAAGGAGCAGCCTTGTAAAACATCTGCCTGGCCACAGCCGAGGAGCCTGGCGCAGAGCCTGGCGCAGACCCTTGGCCAATCTGTCGACGGCAACTGGCGTTAAAAAACTCGCGGCGAGGGTTGCGACTCACACCTTCAACGCGGCCGGGACGGGGGCCAGGGGCAGGGGCAAGGGCAGGAATCGGCAGACGCGACGCTTAATCAATACGTTGCCATAAATCAGTAGAAACTAACAGACTGTGCCGAAAGCGACGGCATCGCCGACTCCTCCGAATACCCTGTGCCCTTTTGCAATCGGGTCAAATCGCGGGTATGCTCGTTTGCGGCAAGTGCTTTGGGACACGCAGCAGAAGTTAGCTCAATTCGATTACGTTAATGCATAAATATTATTTCGATAGGTTTGCGGGCTAGCTCTAGATCGATATATATCGATGGCAGCGCTGGAATATCGAGTATATCTCATATAACTTCCAATTCTCACAAAATCGATAAATATCGCAAAAGTTACATACTTCAAATTTGTGCTAATTAATAATATTATTTTCTTAAATAGCTCTTACAATTCTTACAATTCGCTGGCAGCCTCAGATTATCGATCATTAATCATTAATTACATCATTCCAATTTTCACAAAATCGATATTTATCGATTCCAGGCTAGAACATTCGGAAAGTATTTGTTATTAATATGTGTGTCATTGGCATAATAAAATTATTCTCTTCTTTGATAACTCTTCCATGTTCACACAATCGATAAATATCGATGTCGTGCTCATTGATTGCATTTTCTTCTAATAGCTCTTCTCACAAAATCGTAAAATATCGATGCCAACCACGGACTTTCAGTGAATCTCTAGTTTGATAAATCGCCAAATCGATAAATATCGATTTTTAATAAATACCCATTTACAGGTTTTATTCATAAAGTCTCTAGAATATTTCACTTCTCAAATAGCTCCCACCTTGCGAGCGATCGTGCACAGGGTATCTACTTAGTTGGTCATCCTCTTTGTTGTGCCCTTTGCTGCTGCTAACCCCTTTCGAATGGCCGGCTCTTCGTTTTCTTTGTGCTTCTTTGGCTCGTGCTCCTTTTCCAAACTGGGGCAACCGCAAAAACAAATTAGGACCAGTTTCTTGTCCACATGCCAATGACCCGACTGAGCCGCAGCCCCAGCCCCAGCCAGCCGGCACAGCTGCGATGCTCTCTCTCTCTCTCTCTCCGACTCTCTGACCATATAGACAAACGGACAGCTCAATTCCACCGATCAGATCCAAGCTGGCCCGATCTCTCTCCCGGCCTGCCCAGTGCAAGGACCTCGCTCAATTATTAATTACTGAAGTGCACTCCAAGCCAAATATTAACACAAACTCTACCCCACACCCCCCCACCCCTTAACATATCTACCCTTGCCACTCTGCAGCAAAAAGTCGCACACTTCCTGAATTCCTTCAGTAAATATTTACAAAAGAAAAAACACACGCTATTAAAAAGCGTGCCAATCGGTAAAAGTAACGAATCATCGCACGATATCAATGACTAAACCCCCTCAATACCACCCCCCACCCCCCCCCCCTCAAGAGTCAATACCCCCCCCGTCACCATGAAGCTATAGAAGCGCATAGCGTGAGAAAGACAAAAAGTGAACCTTTAAAAAACCAAACCAATTTCTGTCATATTTACGGGCATTTGGTGTCCGATTTCCGGGGAATAAGATGAAAAGTTAAATATTATCGCAATGCTATATAAAAAATTAATAATGTAACCCAATGGAGGAAGATTATTATATATCAGTTATACATTATATATATATTAAGGGAAAATTCCTAGTTAATAAGCGGGAGAGACTCTTTCTGGAGAGACTCTCCCTCTTCTCCCTCTTAACCCAACTCTTTGTGTGGAAAATGCTTTCTTGGTTAACTTCGGAACTTACAGTCCGATCTTTGTGAAATTTTCAGAGCCTAAATATGACGTGCAAATGTCAATGCATCCGAAAGCTCTAGAATATGCGTCTGATTTTGAGTAGAATGGGGCTGACTTATCCAAATTGTGGGCTATGCTCTAAGTTAGCCTATCCTGGGGAGAGTTATCCAAAAAGTGGAATATTCTTTATTTCTACATACGCTGAGCTATCCTACACTCCAAATTTGTGTGTCTTTAGCTTTGATCAGTTTTCAGATATTTAAAAAACAAAACATGAATTAAATATCTATTAAAATATAAATATCGCTTATATCTTTAGGTATCGATACTTTAATTGAAAAGTCAATTATCGCGTACTCTTCTTAGATAGCCAAAATATCGATTAAAATATAAATAAAAAATATCGCTTTAATCTTTAATAAATAAATAAATCTCTAATAAATATATTTCAGCTGCCAAGAATTCTGGCATTTGCTTACAATAAAAAAGTTGATTGCAATAACTCACCCCCCGCTCCCCCCCCCCCCCCCCCTCTTTCACTCCTCAAACACACCGACTCCAAAAAACCAACGCTGCAAACATGATACAATTGACGACCCCTCCCCCCCTCTCCCCCACACTCTCTGCTAACGTCCGTACATTACATTCCCGTTGAGCTGTGCTCTATTTTTTGTTGTGCCTTTTCAGTTCTGTTGAGCTTCCTCTGACACCCACCGCCACCCCCCCCCCCCCCCTGGCCCACGCCCTGCCTTTGCCTGTGCTCTTTTGTGTCCTGTGCGCGCACGCCTTTTTATTTATTCAGCAAACAACAACAACAACAACCACAACATCATTAACTGAAATGGGCGGAAGCCAAACTAAATGCGCCCTGCAATGCGCGGAGTGTATGCGTGTGTGTGTGTGTGTGCGTGGGTGGGTGTGTGCGTTGTGTATCTACAAGAGATACTTTTTTGCCAACCGCAACTTGCACGAAAAGTACAGCAGCTGCCTGGCTGCTGCTGCTGCTGGACACCGCATATCGATCGATTCCAGCCACAAACACACACAGTCAGGCAAATAAGTATTCGTCAGCGAGTTGGGCAAGTGAAAAGCTATTCTAAACTATTTCGAGCCACCTGCAAAGTATGCAATAGAAGCCAAAAATAGATTCAAAAGTGAACACAACAACAATCTAAACAACAACAAAAGCATTCAATATGCAAATCAATTTTTGCTTCATATCAGCACACTGTTGAAATGTGTGCATATATTAAATACTTTTCTGGCGACAGCATACTTTTCTTAAACACTGTGCGGGCTATTGCGCTGCGCTGCGCTGGGGTGGGGTGTCCGTTAGGGGGCGTCTGTGGCGCTCACGGCTAACGGAAATTCCGCAGCGTCAGGCAGCAAATGTTCCCATCGTTGACATTTTAAATTGCGCTTCGCTGGCGCCATCTGACGACGGAAATCATAAACTAGCGCTACTTGAAAAAGTCTCTATCTCGCTCTCGCTCTCGCTCCCACTCATGGCTTTGCTCTGCCCTCTGCTTTACTGCTGTCTGTTTTGTTTTGCGCGCACTCCTGCGCCTGACCACACACACTCCCCCTACCTCTCCCCTCGTAGCCTTGGGCTGGCCACGTCACACGGCGAACAGGGGCGGGGCGTGGCCAGCACAGTTGTCGCACATTTTAGATGAGTATTTGCACAGAAAATAATCGATAACACGATAAAATTCAATTGAGCGATTAAAAATGTGTTTTATTAAAAAATATATATATACTTATGTATGTTTAAATAAATAAATACGGAACTAAACAAAAAAAAAAAATGAAAAAAAAATGTATTAGATTAATTTAATATTCGCCTCGATTTAGGCCACAAATTTGAGATTTGTGCGCTTGCGCTGCCCGAATACGCCGCTGCGGCGACGCAGCGTCTGCTCCGCGGCGGCGTCCGCGGCTCCGCGCCGCGTCCCAGCAGATTCCAGAAGGGACGCGGCGTCGTTGTCGTCGTCGTCGTCGGCGGATCCTTGTTGATGTAGATGCAATTGACGATCGGCTCGTCGCCGAAGTATTCACGACGATAGCCGACGCCGGCGCCGACGCCGTTGATGTTCTGGTTGCGTATCTTGTTGCGGCGACGTCGACGGCGCTGCAGCTGCTGGCGGCGACGCTTCTGCTGCAGCCGGCGGCGACGCTGCGCCTCCGTCGTCTGCTGCGGCCGGCGGCGTCTATAGCCGCCCATCGTGTCGCTGTAGCTGTAGTCGCTGCTGCTGCCGCTGCTGCTGCTGCTGCTGCTGCTGGGACGGCGGCGCTTGTTAACAGAGCTGCTCGGTCTGCTCTTCTTCTTCTTCTTCTTCTGACTGGGCTTGGTCTTGCGCCGCTTGACGGGTGAGGAGGAGGAGGAGGAGCTGCTGCTGCTGCTGCTGCTGGCTGGCTTCTTCTTGGCGGGCTTTGGCTTGTCCGCAGCGCTGCTGACGCTCTGCTGCTGCTGCTGCTGCTTCCTCTTGATCTGCTGCTGCTCCAGTTCTGCCAGCGTCTGCTCTGCCGGTCGCCGCTTCTTCTTCTCCTTCTCCTTCTCCAGCTCCTGCTGCTGCTGCTGCTTTCTCTTCTGTCCGCTCTTTCTGCGCTTCACCTGCTGCTGCTGCTTCTTCTTCTTCTTCTTGGTCTCCACTGGACGCTGATTGGGCTCATTTATGACGGGATGGATATCGTCATCGTCGCCGCCCGTGCTCCAAATGGCCGAGGTGCTGACGGGACTGTCCTCGGTTATGAAGTGCTCGTACTCATCGTAGAGGCCCACGCCCTGGTAGCGATCGCCGTAGTAGAAGCTATCGTCGCCCCCATCCTCATCCTCATTCTCATCCTCATCCAGATCCAGATCCTCACCGTAGTAGACAAATTCCGTCTGCTTCAGCGGCGTCAGGGGCTTCAGCTCGAAGACCGCGTGCGTGTTGGGATTCACCTTGGGCGGCTGCTGCGATTCGACCACAACGATGCCCGCATCCCCGCCCACATTGGCGTGTGTGGCCGCATTGGCAACCACGCTGACGCCGCCGGGCACAGCCTGGGTAAAGCTGGCGCCCACAAAGGGGCTGGAGTTCTGCCCGGAGAACTGTTTCTGCTGCTGCTGGTGCTGCTGGATGGCGGCCACCGGCTGCTCCTGCACCTGCAGCTGCAGCTGCACCTGCTCCGGCTGCTGTTCATCATCATTAGCCAGCTGTTCCTGTTGCTCCGCCTCGTCCTCCTCCACCTCCTCATCATCATCCTCCTCATCCTCATCGTCCTCGTCCTCGTCATCCTCCTCCAGCTGCACCGCCGCCAGCGCCACATAGCGACGCTTGCTGCCCGGCTCCTGCTCCAGCTGCAGCACCGCCTCCCGATGCTCCACGGGCGCCGGCACCGCGCTCAGGCTAAGCTGCTGCGAGCTGACCGAGACACTGGGCCCGGCCAGGGCCAAGGAGCGACCGCTGGCCCGCTTCCGCCTGGTCACCACGCACTGCGACTTGCTGCCATTCCCGTTCAGCTGTCGGCCCTGGATGTGGAATCGCTTCAGTTCGTACTCGTCCCCGTGCTCGTCCACCTCGATTCTCGTCTCGCCGGCAGCCTCTCTGGTGGCCAGCGCCAGCCACAAGACGCAGCTGGCGATCAGCGCCAAGACGCAGCGTTTGCTCCACATCTCGTCGGGATTTCAAATGCGACTAAACTGGGCTCCCAGCGGCAGCTGCGACTTATATTAGCTCGCCGCGCTCCGATTGGACCGCAGCTAATTTTTGGCGATCTTCGATCTGAGCTCTGAATTATTCATCAGTCCGTTGCCCCCCTCCCCCCCTCTCCGCTCTAGAATCTGTTTAGCCTATTCATAATTTGCTTTCTTTCCCAGAACCCGTTTTCGCCAACGGGGTCAATGGTCAACTAATAACCCCGCGTCGAAGCTAGCCAAATCAGGCGGAAGAAGAAAGTTTCTAGTCAAAGGGCCCCCTGGCGAAACCCGAAACCCATCGCCGAGCGACCTCTGTCATATTGGCCAAAATAATAAAACCGGGTCACAATGATAGGGAGTGCTCGACTACAAAATACCCTGCGACCTGCTACTTATAACATTTCAGCTTCCTGCTGTGCTTCTTCCTCCCTTCGTCCCATACTTTTTGCGGGAAATCACTTCTTGATTAACTTCGGTATTCATAGTCCGATCTTTCAACAACTTTCAAGGCTTAAAGATGGTAAAAGGCGTATATATATATATATAGGGTATACATTACCTAAGCAGAAGACTATTGAGGTATATCCAAAAAGTGTGACCAGAAAATCTAATTTGAAAATCGATTTTTATTGATCTCTTCGAAAATTTAATTTTATAATCGAATTTTATCGATCTCTTAATTAATCGATTTTTATCGATATCTTAAGAAATCGATTATTATTGATCTCCTACAAAATTTAATTTTATAATCGAATTTTATCGATCTCTTGAGAAATCGATTTTTATTAAACTCTTAAGAAATCGATTTTTATCGATCGCCTAGAAACCGAATTGATCGATGATTTAAAACAAACCTGATTTGGGCCCTTTCTTAAAGTCTCTTTAAGCAGAGACGCGAGAGTTGTAGATGAAACCATTCGCCCGTTTCATAACCTTGCACGAAACTAATATACCGCTTTTAACCATTTCAAAGGTTGCAGGGTATTAAAATCGCCGCTGAGAAATCATTTTGCCCAGCATCGAAAGTTCATAAATTAATGATTAAATTTGTTGCGCCGCGCTAAACGACCGGACTAAGCGGGCAACTAACTAGCCCCGATTTGGGCGCATAAATATACTAAGTCGTAAATTGATTATGTGTTTTCGAGCCGAGCCTTTCGAAGCGGGAATCGAACCAAAACAGTTTTGCTAAAATACCTGAAATCGATAAGTATCGATTTTTAGCATCGAACTAATTCGCATAGTTCGGAGATGAAAATAGCTACAGACTTTTGTAATTTCTCGTAGCCTCTGCCATATGCAGAGCAAATAGATCATTTCGATAACTTTTCATTATGTTCCACAGTCGATAAATATCGATTCTGAGCCACTATTTATTTCGCACAACGAGTAATTTCTAGTATCCCTTACCATCAGCAGCACAAGCAGGTCAGCTCGATAACTTTCTGACTCTTTCCAACTTTCCCACAATCGATAAATATCGATTTTTGGCCGCGACATATTTCGGAGATGAAAAAAGCTACACACTTTCGTAATTTCTCGCAGCCCCTGCCATATGCAGAGCAAATAGATGATTTCGATAAACTTTCAATTTCAAACATTCGATAAATATCGATATTTAGCCGCGACTTTTTCGCTTATCTCAGAGATGATAAGAGCCAGAAACTTTCGTAATTTGCCATATCTCCTGCCATATGAAGAAAAAGTAAATTATTTCGATAAATTTCCGATATCCCACAATCGATAAATATCGATTCTTAACCTCTGTTTATTTCGCATAGAGACTTTCGTAACTTCTTGTATCTCCTACCATAGCAGAACAACTAGATTATATCGATACATTTTCCGATATCTCACAATCGATAAATATCGATTTTCAGCTTAAACTTTTTATAGCACCCGATTAAAAGAGCTAATGACATACGATATATGCATGTATGACACATGTGTGTGATCAGATGTAACTTTATTGTCTTTCTTTAACATTATATTCCAATTGATTGTCGCGCCCCAATTTGGGCGCTCAGGCGCCGAGAGATCCGGCCCTGGGGCAGAAAAAAAGGAGAAGAAAGAAAGCGAATTTGACCTATGACAGAAAATTAATTTCAATATCGAAGATTTCTACGAGCTGTCCGAAAAGCGACAAAACAATCAATTTATTGGCACAAAAACATATTTCTTTTTTTTTTAATTGTTTTTTTGTTTGTTTGTTTTTTTTTTTTGGTTAGGATTAACAAAGGCCCCCGAAAAATAGAAACATAAAATCGGGCCAAAAATGCGCCACAATCGCGTGTGGCTCATGCCAAGAGGCGGGTGCTCTGCCGCCCCTGCCACGCCCAGACGAGACATACAACATGTGTGCCCCCCCCCCTCCCCTTTTGCCCCTCCACCTCCCGCCCGCTTGACTATGGTCATTTGTTGTCCACTCTTTTTGCATGCTAATGACATATCATAAATTTCCACGCAGAAGCCTTTTGATAGAGACTAGCTGGAGGCGTCTCTTGGCCAGCGGGATGCAGGTGGGCGGGCGGGTCTACCTAGAGGGGAGAGTGGGGGCAGGGACAGGGCCTCAGTGTGTTTATCAAGAAAAGTGAACAAAAGATCAATTGACAGAGAGAAATGTTGCGGCAGCTGCGCAACACTTGAATAATAATAATGTAACAAAAATAAAGAGGGCCATTAAATTACAAACATCTTCAAGAGGCAACAGCAGCAACATGAAGAAGAAGAAGAAGAAGGCAACAAGAAGAAGAGACAGCAGCAGCAGCAGCAGCTTCTATTGGCCTCCACCTGATTTGTTATGGAGAAGGTGTCGCCGTGGTCGTCATTCAAGTTGCCCCCCGCCCCCCTCCAAGCGCGTGCAGACATGCAACAAATGAACGACAACAACAAGAAGAAGCAGCAAGAAGAAGAAGAAGCAGAAGCAGCAGCAGCAGCAGCAACCTGGTAGCAACTTCTCTCGTCAATTTCTGACGATCGTATCTCTCTTTAATGTGAATTTACAGTGCTGCCAATTTGCTGCCATTTTCCTGCATACCCTGCACCCGTTGCCAATGCTCGAGTGTTTCGGCTTGTGCCTGAATATGTGACAGTCAGATCCCATAAAGTATATAAGGTATATATTCCCGATCAGCAGCCAAGTCACAGACACAGACCTCTTTTTATCACCATCTTTTTATTGCCTAATTCCACTGTCAACATTTCTGACATTTTTTGCGAATGTGAAATATGTTAGCCTGTACTTTTTCCACATTTGCCAATAATCTTTTTATTGCCTAATTCCACTGTCAACATTTCTGACATTTTTTGCGAATGTGAAATATATTAGTCTGTCCGTTTTCCCATAAGAAACCACATTTTTCACATTTGCAATAAATGTTGGTATTCACGCCGAGTCATCCGCCTTTTTTTAATGATGATTTATCGAATTTTCGAACAGCTATTTCTTAAAAGAAGCGGTACCTTATTTTATCCAGACACTTGCTAATGGAATCGCACAATGTGAAGTTTTTAAATGTAACATATTTTGAGCAATGTGGAATCTTTGTTCTTCTTCAATCTGCGCCCTCTTTTCTTCATATAATTAATAATCGATGTTCAGATTTGTTTCCTTAAGCATAACTGGAAGATTTTAAAAGCTAGAGGCTTAAAAATTAGTATATAAACTAAATACAGTATAAGTATATATGTAGTACACACAGATGAGATATATTTCACAAAATCTAGAAGAAGATAGAGTGTGGAGCTTTGGCATACACACACTCTACAATATGCCAAATTTATGCACTGAAAATTGCATTAAGATCGGACAATAAGCACCGAAGTTACCGAAGAATGCATTTACCGTAAATAGTGTTGGGCAAAGGCAAGAAGAAGCACAGACGCAGCTAACGGCATTTGCATTTGCTACGATTCTTATCGATCAACAGCGATAAATGCGCAGTGTTGTGAAACTTCGAAATGTTGCCAACTTAAAATGTTAAAAGTAGCCAAAATAGCAATAAAACAAACTAAAACATAATTAAAGAACTTTCATTAATAATGTCATAAATAAAGACAAAGCTGGAGGCAGGCAACAATCGACTCTTTCTACTGTTGTTGTTGTTGTTGTTGCTGTTGTTGTTGTTGTTGTTGTTGTTGTTGCTGCTTTATCGCCGTTTGCTTATGCTAACCACTTTCGCGCAGCGGGCACCAACGGAATTTTTAATTAATTCATGCGTTCAACTTGCATGCATGTACGTGTGTGCGTGTGTGTGCGTGTGTGTGTGTGTGTGTGTACACACAAAACATATTTTGAATTAATTCACAAATCAATAACCGGCTGCTGCTGCTGTTCAGTGTTGAGAAGCAACAAAAAGTGCTAGTTCTAGTGTGAAAAGTGTGTTCAAAAATAAAGCTGGAAGAACAATTTTAACTATTTCGCTCTCTTTCGTGTAGTTTATTTATACAGAAACTACTAAAAATATATATTTTCTACAAAATTAACTCAAAAACAAAAGAGTTGTAAAATTTTGTAAAATAAAAAAGGCCAAAAACAGTTTTAAGAAAAAGCCAGAACTCCAAATAACTTATTCTTAAATTACTCAAAAAAAAAAAAAAACAATTTAAAAAAACTTTAAATAAAAATAAAAGCTTTTATAAAATTAAAATTGTAAAATTAAAAAAGCAGCGGCAACACGTTAAAAAAAGCCAAAACTCCATTTGAGTTATTAAAAAAATACTTAAAATTAAAAACTTGGCCTTGAGCACATAAAAAGAGCCAAAACTTCTGCTAGCTTCAAAGTAAAACATGTTGTTAACTGCTTTTTTAGTTAAAAAAAAAAGCCCAATTTGACGGGAAAGTAGCTAAAGCGACATCACTGCCGCTGCCGCTGCTGCTGTTTTTTGTGTGCGCCAAAGTTTCTTTCAATAATATGCATGATTTGTGCTGTTGCTGGAATGTGCTGTGCTATGCGGCACGCAACGGTAATTGGCTGCCAAGATGGCAACAACAACAACAACAACAACAACAACAACGGCGAAAAATGCAGCCAACGTGTTTCATTCTGTGCAGCAAGAAATCAAAGCTGCGGCATCCAATCAGAAGTCAACAACTGCACACACTCACACACACACACAAATGCACATGCACATGCAGTTGCATTGGGATGCTGCGGCTGCAGTTGTGCTAGCTCACTCGCACTCGCACTCGCACTCGCATGCAGCCGAACTGCGGCAGCCAACAAAATGGCGGCCATGCACAATGCACGTAAATTTCAAGTTCGCTGGGAAAAGGTTTTGTCCCAGAAATGTCCCGCTGTTGCCCGCCGCTGAATTTACAGTTATGTGCAATAATTTGCGCTTGCATACGTGCAATGTGCCCAACATTAATATGTTCGACGCGTTTATTTAATTTATTTGATTATTTTGCTGCCTTGCAGTCAAATCAGCAGCCGCAGCAGCAGAGCATTCCGCGCTGGCCTAAGGAAACGGTCCCCTTCCCCGCCCAGAAAATATTCCCAGATGGGACTTTTGTGACAACATACAAATATAATTGGGGTTATGGCCATTACCTACTCACACATTTAAATATAATTATTTTTACGAATTAATAGATTTACACATTTATCAATATCATTTAAGAATTACTTTTATTTTTTTCGCTAAACCCTCCTAAACTGCCTCAAGTGTTTGAATTGCGCGCCAAGCACGCTCACGTACAGCTGGCGCCATCTACATGTCAAGGTTGCCAGCAAGCGTCTAGTTGGCGGGTTGTCATTCGATTTGTTTGAATTTTAGGACATTTTTGCTTGTAATCGAACTAAATATCGTTGCGTGTGCCATATATCGTGAGCAAATATTATGACGATATGAACTTTCTATCGATATATTGAACCATCCCTAGTCCAAGGAAGTATTGGGGTGTTTGGAAATGTTCGATATTTGCGTAGAAATTTTTAAAGTCAAACGAAAAACAATGTATTAAAGTCTTAGTTAATTAATGCAAAACTAGTGGCAATTAATCAGTTCGATCGTGTGCCCCAAACGCAACAAATGCATTGGCATTAACTGGCGCCAGCCAAGTGTTCGCCCAAAAACCAAAGAGAACGACCGAAAGAAAAAGAGACTCCGAAGATGTGTCTATACTACGGCCTAAATGAATGAAATGTGAAATGTGTGTGTATATGTAGGCGAAGGCGACCAAGGCGATACCAGCTAACTGTGCATACGTATGTGTGCGTGTGTGTATATGTATGTGCGTGTGCGTGTGCGCTAGTATGTGTATGCGTATTCGCCTGACGCTGCATGTGTGTGTGTGTGCTGCACACTGAAAGAATCAATAAAGGATGTGCTGTGGATTTTTGCAATACCAGCAGCAGCAGCAGCAGCGAAAACCAACAAAAGACCAATTAAAACGACAACAATAAAGAACAACGGCGACAACAGCAACAACAACAACTAGCAAATTATCGAAATTTTTTAACCAATCCCCTATCCTGCGCCGACCCGCCCCCCCCACCCCCACACACACACACCCCCTGGCCCTGTGGCATGTAAAATTGTAACGGTAAATGTTGGTTGCAAAATTCAAACTGTAAAATGTGTAGCAATTGTGAACTGTAACTGTAACTGATAGACGAAGACGAACTGCAAAACAGTGTGTACACAAATTCAAGTGAAAATTTAATACAAAAGCTGTCACACACAAAAGTCAATCAGTCAATCAATCAATCGATCAATCGATCAATCAATCAATCAATCAGTAAACAAACGGGCGCAGGCGTCATTCAGCTCACACCATGAAGTGCTGCGTAATAATTAGCTGGCTAATGCTGCTGTCAGTTGCACGTAAGTGTTGTAAAACTAATTAAAATCCGAGGGTGGGTTGTCAATCAGGCACCACTTGATTGATTGACTGACTGACCGACTGTATTAACCCATTTATTATCGATTATTTGCAGAGCACATTGGCAGCGTTGAGGTGCACTTCGAGGCCCCGGACAGCGGCTTCTTCCTGAAGCACGCGCGTCAACCACCTGTAACGCCGGAGATCGCCAATGTGCAGACCTCGTCCTCGGTGCCGCCGACGCGGAGCCGCACCTCGTACGACTCGGTTCTCTCGCTGGACCGCTTCACCGTGGTGGAGACCACACAGCCCGTCTCCATACGCGCCAGCTACGGCCCGTTCTCGACAAAGCAAACGGTGCCCGCGCGCTACATTGTGCCGGACACCATGGACACCAACCAGGCGGGCGACTATGTGAACGTAAGAGATTCCCCCCTCCCATCAAATTCCGTGTGGGTTCGATTCAAAAAAAAAAAAAAAAAAACTGTCGCCCACAGAACTCGACGGCCACGCTGCTGGAGCTGCAGCAGCCGAATATGCATCTGGACATCTCGGCGCATCTGGTGCGCGGCAGTGTCTCGCAAGACTCGCCCGTGCTGCGCGTGCTCTTTCACGCCGGCGCCGATCCCGGCGGCCATTTGCAGCGACAAAAGGTCTGCGTGCTCCTGCACGTCGCCATGGCCAATGAACAACCCCTTAAAGGACGCTGCATGCCCGAGGGCGAGGATGGAGTCTGTGTGGCCGAGGTGGTCATCCCGCTCAGCTGGTGGCCAGCGCTGCCCGCGCCTCGCCACAGCCGCGAGAGCAGCGGCAGCAACGGCGGCGGCGGCGCTCCCGGACAGCCGCCCAAGGTGCCGCAACGCTATGCGCAGGTCTCGTACAGCGTCTTCGAGCCGCCGGTGCGCAATCCGGAGCAATGCGAACCGAAGGTGCAGATCCAACCGTTGACGACATTCGCCCAGGTGCCGCTGCTGGCCGCCAAGACGGCGTTCAAGGAGCTGCGCGCCGATGATTCGGTCACGTTCCTGCTGCCCCAGCATCCGCTATATCCCTTGTCCAAGCTGCATGTGCCCGTCTATCTGCATCAGTATGCGGATGAGGAGCAGCGCGTGGCCGCGTTTACGGTCCGCGCACGCGTCAAGGCCGGGCTGCGCATTATGGGCGCCAGTGCCTCCAGCGATCAGTGGAGCGTTAGCATTGAGAAGGAGAATCCCAAGCATACGACGGCTCGTGTAACCGCTTTCCGCAAGGAATCCTCCGACTCCTCCCCCTCCTCCGCCTCCGCCACCGCCGGCAGCACGGAGAGCAGAGGCAACTTTACCAGCAGCGGTGCCAGCAACGAGGTGTACGAGGTCTTTTCCTGGCTGCTGGAGGTGGCCGACGATCCCAACGACATTCTGGATGGGGGCAAGATCGTCTGGTCTGTCACCCATGTCTATGACACGCCCAAGGACAAGGACTCCTCGGAGCTGATTGCTACGGACGATACCAAGAAGCGTCTGATTGCCAAGCTGGAGATCAACAAGGACGACATTCAGGCGGTGCTGCCCATGGCCAAGATCTGGGAGGTGATGAACACGGCGGTTCTCACTGGCCGTCAGGTGGCCCAGGCCATGAAGGTCTTCATTGTCTCGCAGGCGGGCAAAGTGGCCGATGTCACCCTGCAGAGCTCCTGCCATGCCGAGGACGAGAGCGTCATCAAGGTAGGACAAACCGAGAGAGAGAGAAAGAAAGAAAGGAGTAAATGGATCCTCACTTCATCCTGCTTTCCATTGTCTGTGTGTAGGTTTCCTCGTCGTGCAGCTCCGTTTATGTGGATGGCTCCGAGCAGCGGGGCTCGTCCAATGCTTCGGTCATTGTCAAGTATGGCACCTATGTGGGCTTGGCCAAGTTCATTGTCTGGATGCCCGAATTCCCGCTCGAAGTTTACATATCCGACTTTCGTCTATCCCAAATTAAGGGCTGGAAAGTAACCGACGACAATCACTATCTGTAAGTGTAGCGACAATTATTTAACAAATAGAAGAAAAATAGCTTAAAGCAAGGAATAGCGAGTAAGGAGAAACGAGCACACAGTATCAAGTAACGAGTAAAAACATATAAGAAGAAATAAGAAATTATAGTTAACACGCAACTAGTCTAAGAAGGGGTAGGGATAAGTGTAGGGGTAGGGGTGAAATAAGATTTAGCGAGTGGAAAAACACGAGTTACAAGTATGAAAAAAAATATAGCAATTGCGAGTAAGAAACGAGTATGGAATACGTAGGAAGTTACAAGTATATTCAAAAGTAACTTGTAGGTTATAGATGATAGGGAGTAAAAGTAACGAGTCTGAAATCGCAAGTTGCGAGCCAAAGGAAAAATTAGTTAAGTTAATAGAAGAAATAAGCATATAAGCTTGTAAGATGTAACGAGTAGTGAACAGGTAATATAAAGTAGAAGTTAACTATATTAAAAAAGTATAAAAAGTAACAAGTATCGAACTAAAAGTAGAGAGAATAAGGATACAAACAGAAAGTATTGAGTAGCAAGTAAAAAGTAACGAGTAGAAAATATGCAACTAATAAAAAAGTAACGAGTAAGAAATCGCAAGTAGCGAGCCAGAGGAAAATAATGAAAGGAGACCAAAAGTGAAAAGTAAAGTATATAGGAAGAAAACAGCATATATTAATAAAAGCTTGTATGAACTAACGAGGAATGTAAAGGTAAAAAAAGGTATCAGTGAAAGGTATTTAGAAGGTATAAAAAGTAACGAGTAGCGAAATACAAGTACCGAGAACAAAAAAAAAAATAGAAAGTAATGAGTAGCAATTAAAAAGTAAAGAGTATAGAATATGAAACGATTAAAAAAGTAACGAGAAGGGAATCGCGAGTAGCGAGCCATAGGAAAGTGATGAAAATAGAGCAGCGATTGGTGGGCAAAGGTAAAGAATAAAGGGTAATAAATAAGAAAAAACAATTAGCGAGTAGCCAACAAAAAGAAGATATATTAACGAGTAGCGAAATAGAAGTAGCGAGTGTAAGGATACAAATAGAAAGCAATGAGTTGCAAGTATAAAGTAAAGAGTAGAGAACACGCACCGGATAAAATATAACGAGTAGGAAATCGCAAGTAGCGAGCCAGAGAAAAATAATGAATAGCGAGCAGCGAATAGCGGACAAAAGGTAAAAAATAAAGTGTAATAATTAAGAAAAACAAGTAGCGAGTAGGCAATAAAAATTGTATTAAGAAGGTAAAGTAACGAGTAGCGAGATAGAAGAACGGTTCAACAAAGTGAAGATATATTAACGAGTGGCGAAATAGAAGTAGCGAGTGTAAGGATACATATAGAAAGTAATGAGTTGCAAGTATAAAGTAAAGAGTAGAGAACACGCACCGGATAAAATGTAACGAGTAGGAAATCGCAAGTAGCGAGCCAGAGGAAAATAATGAATAGAGAGCAACCAATTGCGGGCGAAAGGTAATTAATAAAGGGTACTAAATAAGAAAAACAAGTAGCGAGTAGGCAATAAAAATAGTATCATGATAGGTAGAGTAACGAGTTGCGAGATAGGAGAACCGTTCAATTAAATATGATTTTCTAACGCGGCCCTGCGATACCCTCCGCTTGCACAGACACAACAAACAATCCAGACGCCGCAAGAAGCGCTCGTATATGTGGAACCCGAAGGGCAGCAGCTACTACAACAATGTCGGCGCCGAGAAGACCATCTGTCGCGCTCGCTATCAGCAGAGTCCCGTCGAGGTGTACGCCAAATTCCTGGCCATCGATCAGGTGAGAGCAGTCCGGCGGCTCAGTCGTCCCACAATCGACTCGTTTAATGACCATTTGCCTCCATTTGCCAGAACTCCGGACGCATTAGCTACTTCATCTCACGGCGCACGGGACTGCGCGTCACGGACTTGGTGCAGCCGCTGCTGCGCGTGGCAGATCCAAAGATCGCCTCGCTCAAGGGCCGCATACTGCAGGGCAAGTCCATGGGACGCACCGATGTCCAGGTGCTCTCGCCGATCACGGGCCGTGTCATTGGCACCAAGGAGATACGCGTCGGCAGCGACAAGGTGAATCTCTCCAAGCTGATTGTGCGCGTCATATCCGGCCTGCAGCTGACCATAACGCCGGAGAATGCCATCGAGAACGGCTACCTGGCCGAGACATCCGTCACGCACAAGCTGACGGCACAGTATCAGGAGGGTCTGCTCGACATCGACCTGGAGTTCAACGATGGCTCCAAGACGCCGCTGCGGTAAGCAAGTTACATTTATATAAAGCTGATTGTCACGATTGATTGGAGATAGAAAGCTAAATGTTCACCTTATGTGTTGTAGGTTGATGGTTAAGACTAGGTTTTGGCTAATTCCATCCGCAGGTGTGGACAAAATTAACCAAAAGGGTTGAACGAAACTTTTGAATGAACAATAGGTTGTAAACTCAGCTGCAAAGATCCTTCTGCAAATTCATTCGTGAGTTGTTTCACACTTTTAGGAAAATCCATTCCACCTTGATGAAAACGTGGAATTTTAAAGCTTGAAATTAGATGCAAGACTCTGCGAAAAGTCCTAATGAGTGTTTGTCGCGGTGATTTTGGCAATTCCACCCGTAAGTGTGGACAGAATTAACGGAAAATAGGCTGGGAATTTGGGCTGTGAACTCAGCTCCAAAGATGCTTTCCTTCCTTTCCACACTTTTCGGAATATCCATTCCATTTGGTGGAAATGGGTTTTTGTGCGGAATTTGAAAGCTTGAACTTAGATGCAAGACTCTGCGAAAAGAAAGAATTAACGGAAACTAGGCTGTGGAGGATTAGGCTGCGAACTGAGCTCCAAAGATACTTAAGCAAATTCATTTAAGTCTTGCTTAACACTTTTCGGATAATCCACTTCCCTTGGTGGAAATGGAGCTCAACAGTTTTTTGAGCGGGATTTCAACTTTAGCTTAAATGCAAGACTCTACGAAAAGTCTTGAGTACGTGGAATTCCGCACAATTCCACCCGCAAGTGTGAAAAGATCGCGGAAAGCGGTTGTGTGAAACCTTTTTGTTTTCCGTTCAAGTGACTTGAAACCCAGTTTCATTTCAGACTTCTTTCACAGCTTTCGCAGGATCCACGCCTGCTGAATGAAAAGTGCGGGTCAAAGGTTGTAAATGGGTTACTTTAGGTTAAGACGAAACGAAACTTAAATGAGCGAGAAAATGTTGATTTTAGCTCTTGGAACTTAATTCCTTTTTCAAATGTAATAAGTGGAGTTAAGGGTAGATTCAGATTTTCCACGGAGAATCTGTGGAAAGTTGAGGAAAAAGGAATTTCGGAAAATAAACTGCTAGTATAGAAATAATTGTGTAACAATTTGTTTAATTGTTGCATTTACAGCGACATTGCGGTGGAGGACTATTTCCTGCTGGTGGAGAGCCTGGACACGGAGGTGGTCGCCTTTGCGCCGATGCTGGCCTCGCATCATCCGCGCGTCATCGCCGTCGGCGAGGGCAATGGCAATTTGCTGCGCGTCACTTTGCTGCTGTCGGAGGAATGTCGCATGCGACGCGGGCCTGGCGCCGGCTCCTCCTCCTCCTCGTCGTCGTCGTCGTCGTCGGGCAGCTCGTCGAAGCCGAACAAGCCGAATGCAGCGCCGCTGGCCAGCGCCCTGGCCTCCATTGAGGTGGACTTCAACAATGTGGACATTGTCAGCAAACAGGAGTCGATACAGAACGACGGCACGGTCGGACGCGAGCGCAAAAACTATCGCAACACCGGCGACCTGGCGGACATCATAGGTAAGCTTAGCCAGCTCTGGTTGACCCAGAGTGTCGAGACTAATGAGATTCGCTTCGAACAGTTGGCATACCGCTGCGCGACTCCAGCCAACAGTACGAGCCGACGGTGCAGGCGCGCCAGCATCGGGCCAGCATTCAGGCGGTGCACAAGCAGCACTACGGCAGCCGGGCGGGCGGCATTGGCAGCGGCAACATGTCCTCCATGGAGCTGGGCATGTACGTTCTGCTGACGGCCTTCTGCTTTGCCATCATTGTGTTTGTCATCTCGTGCGTCGTCTACGCCTCCAAGTTCCGCCCGGCCATGATTGAGTCTGGCCTCGATCCGCTCTCCGGCGCTGGCAAGGGCAACGGCAACGGTGGCGCTGGCGGCGGCGGCGGCGGCTTTCGCGATGTGCGCCTCAAGGAGTCCACCACCAATGCCCACGACTGGGTCTGGCTGGGACGCTCCACCATTGACAGGCAGTCTATCGCCGTCAACGACACCAACAATGCCCAGCAGCCGCAGCCGCAGCAGCAGCACGTCAATGCGCGCGGTAAGCTCTCGATAGATGCAGCCAATCCTCAGCAGAATTGTAACAATGCTTTGCCGCTGGCAGATTCCCGCATGCGCATCACCAGCAACCCGATCATCAACTACGACAACGGACGGCGAGTCAGCTCCTTTGACCAGCAGCAGCAGCAGCAGCCCCCCAAGCTCCAAACGCACATTGTGCCCGCCTCCAATCTGAACAAGGTCCACACCGAACAGTAAGTACGCCCAACTGCAGCTGGTAGCTGGCAAAAAGGCTGATGCAACAATCTTACGATCTTACAGCTATCTGCCTGGCAATGAGCGCAAGGATGCCGTCGCTCCGGAGTACAAGCCGCCGGTGCCGCCGCACCGCAACGTGGGCACACGCGCCCTGTTGCCGCCCCAGCTGCCACAGTCGTCGGCGCCCGTCAAGGTAGGCAGCGGCAACTCAGCGTCTCAACTCTGATTAATGCTAGTTCTTTTTTTGGTTTAAACTAGGACAAGGAGATGATTAACAAGCGTCACAGCCAGCAATACAAGCGCGAGCCGCTGCACAGCGACAACAACAATGCGACGCAGCAGCCACAGCCGGAACGTCAGCATCAGCGCAGTCACAGCCATAGCCACAATTTTATACAGGAGCCAGCGCTGCGCTTGGCACACATGAAACTCAAGCAACATCAGCAGCAACTGCAGCAGCAGCAACAACAGCAACAACAGCAGCAGCAGCAGCAGCAGCAACTACAGCACGAGGAGCTGCACAATGCCGAGAAGCTGGTGGAGTACACAAATCCGCATCAGAAGAATGCATTTCAATTCGATTCGCTGACACCAAAGAGAGTAACCAAAGCAGCAGCAGCCGCAGCAGCAGCAGCAGCAGCAGCAGCATCGCCAGCCATAACACAAATCAAGGGTTAGACGCACATTTAATGAGTGTACATAAATATATACTCATTGTTGCCTTTGCTCTCCTCCGATTTTAGAGAATCATAACCACAGCATTTTGAGCACCGTTGCGGATGCGGCCAATTCGAATGCCACTGATGAGCTTGCCCGTCTGCCGACACCGCCGGGACATGGCCACGCCCACACAGCGGCGATTAGCAGCGAGCCAACAACAAAATCATCGCGCATCAAGCGAGCCACAGTTGTCGGCAATCCCATGTTCTCGGCCACCGTTGACGATACGCTGCCACCTGGCGAGCGTCTGGGCCTGGATGATCTCGACATGGACTACGAACAGATCATGCACTATTTCGATAATCTAAAGGTTTAATATAGAATGTGCATAAAGCATGTGACACGATCTATATGCTCATCTTCTCTCTCTCTCTCTCTCTCGCTCGCTTGCAGGAGTCAAATGCCTGAGTACAAGAGATCATTGCTAAAATTCGCGAGATATTGTCAACATTTCATCAACGATATCACAATGTCGTTACGCCCCTAACAACGCCCACGCGCAAGCACATCCAAATGCTAGACGAGCTCGTCGCCGTTGGAGTCGAGGCTGGAGCTGAAGTTGGAGTTGGAGTTGGAGTTGGAGACGGAGACAACGAGGCGGCGGTGCCTGAGCATTGTCTTAAGCAGCAGCAGCAGCAAAAGTTTCAAATTCCAAGCAAATGCAACTAAAGGGTAACTAGTACACACACGCACACTCGCACACACACACACACACACACAACAAGAAACGCAATTCTAGCAATCCAAAACCTAAAAGAATACTCAACACAAAAATCGTACCCAGAGTTAAACGCGACGCTGAAAACAAGAAATATTTATTGCCTAGACCTTAAGTGCATACCATATAAAAAGCATAAAACTATATATATATATATACTTAGGCGATATCGTACATATATATATATATATATATATATATATACAATTTGTTCAAGTGTCGCAAGCCCCCCTCCCCTCCCCTCCCGCACACCCGCAGCCCAATCAATGCCAGCACAAGTGGGCAAATGTTTGTTAATTGCGTACATTTAGGCTTAAGAATTTATATATACATATACAGATACATATATACATGCACATATATATATATATATATATATGTGTGTGTGTGAGAGCATCAAAGCATAGCTTGTCGCGAATTGCTTCCCAATTCTTCGGCTTGGGCGCTTGCAATCATTCACCCCAACTATTCAAAGGGGAAAACACGTAATTAAGTATATGAACAATTTAAACTAGTAGCAACAATTGTGCCCCCCCCTTCCTCTCTCTGAATGCACCCCGCAACCCAAATATATTTAGTAAAAAAAAAACAAAACAAACGAAAAGAAACGAAAAAGCACACATATTTTATACGAGATCTCGGCCTCATATGCATATCTCTCTCTCTCGCTCTCGCTCTCACTCTCTTATTAGAACTATAAAAAAACAAACATTCATGCTGAATTTATGCATTTGTTGTTTGTAACTCGTTTTTGCCTCCCCCCGCGAAACCCTTCGTCCTGCTGCTCCGCTCGGAAAACCACTTGTGCAAAAGCTAGGCCTAGGGAGTTGGGCACGTTACGACACAAACTTGATAAAGAAAATTTCCAAATTATGCCACGATATATATGTATATATATATATACTATAAATGTATTTAAAGAAAGAAAGAAAACATCGCTTTATAACTGTATAAGTTGGCTAACGAATGCCTAAATATCGCAATCATAATATTATTATTATCATTATAATTACAAATACAATTACAATTACAAATACAATTACAAATACAATTACAAATACAAATACAATTACAATTACAATTGAGAAACCCTAAGAACTACATACATTATAATAATAATTATAATAATCGACAACCGAACACGAAAAGTATATAGACGCTTATGAGCTTTATTTGAACACGATTGCATTAATGGACAGCAAATAAAGTAAAGGGAAATGTGTAACCAAATATATTCTATGATATTACCAAGCGATTAAGCTTTATATAATATTAAAACATATTTATAGAGATATATGTATATGCGCATATACATACATATATATATATGTATTTATTATTGTCATTATCATTATGCTGATTCACGTTTACTCTGATTATCATTATTATATATATATTTATATATTTATGAAGCGACAATTCGAACGAAAACAAAATGAGACAAATTCAACAACAAAAAACAAACAAACATAAATCAATTACAAAATGAGAAACAAATAAGTTTGAAAACGAAAAAGTAAAGCAACAAATATGCCACAAATTCGCTGTACCCTATATATAGTGCAACATATAATACATCCACACATATATACATATATACATATATATATATGTATATGTGTATATGTGTGTATATATATATATATTTAAAATACATATGTGTAACTCACGCGCTCTCTACACAAATCGCATCATTATAAGTGTGTAACTGTCTAACAGGAGCTAACTAGGCTCTCTTTTTTATCGTTTGATTCTTCACGCATCTATATATATACACACACACATATATATATATGTAATGGTATATTATAGCAGCCCGAGCTAATTCATTCCATTAGCAAACGTTTTTTTTTATTCTCTGCATATAACATCGTATATTTGAATAGACATACATATGTATATGTTTATATTTGTTTTGTCGTTGTCATTTTGTATTTTAATTATAGTTTCGCATTCGTAAGGCATTTAAGTATTACACTTTGTTAGATCATTAAATCATTGTTTCATAATCATATGTTGTAAATTGTTCCGTCCAACAAAAAACAAAAACAAACGAAAAGAAAAACAACAAAAAAAGCAAAAAAAAGAAACAAAAACAAAAGCAAGAAAAACCAAACAACAAAAAAACGAAAAACAAAGCAATGCTAAAAGAAAACACAAAATAATTAAAGCCATATAAATTTAAAACACAATTATAATTTATAATAATAATTATGCACATAATTCTAATTTATATATATTATTGTAGAACTCTGTAGTTCAATCACAATCAATCAATTGCCATTATGCTTGCTTTCGTAGAGGATCTGTAGGTCTGCACATATTGTAAATAAGACATTACAATATATATAAACATTTTAGCTATGTTGCTGTCTCTTGCACTCCTTTCCCTCCCTCTCTCTCTCTCTCTCTCTCTGTATTTTAATTGGGTTTGTTGCGTTAGAACTACAGAGTCTTATAATATTTAGATTCTTTAAAAACAAAACACACAAACGAAAAACATCTAAACAATCTTTTCTTCGACTTGTTCTAACAATGTTTTTAGCCTAAAATCTAGTTTTGATCTATTATATACATATATATCTTGTATCTCAAATTCTACGCACACTTTTGGGCATATCTTAAAACACACACCCACAAACACACCCACACACACACGCAGACAGATCGCATTGCCTTCAAATTGTAAAGCCTTGATAGCTTGCAGAGTCCCAGTGCTAGTGCTAGTGCCATATTCAATCAATCATTAGTTGTAGGTCAATCATCAATCATTTTGGGGCATGCCTAGAGCTTAACACGAGCAAAACGCTTGTTCTCTCTCCCTCCAAAAAATAAAAGTACTATAGAATGCGTAGATTTATAACAAACAAACAAAAATCATTTCAAACTCCGAATGCAACGGCAGCTTGACTGACTGACTGATTGAATTTGATGGACGGTAGCCAAATCTCGTATTGTTATGAGCAATGATTGATCAATCGACATTGATTGTACAACTACTTAGCAAATTTGAACACACACACACACACACACACACATACACATACACTCACAGTCACACTCACCTACACCCAGCACACAAATAGAGAGATGTACAACCCACGTACATCTTGATGTAAGATGTGAATGTGTACGTGTATCGATTCCAATGCAAAGACTTTACTTTTTTTATTATGTTTAGATATATATTTTATAACGAATTATTTAATTATAATTTACATACCTTGTTTAGCACATACATTATGATTGATTGTATGATTGACACATTCATTGTACAACATGTTAAGACAAGTTTTTCGAATTTCTAGTCAGTTCGAAGCGTACAAATCGTTTTGTTACATCACGACACAAACATACACACACACACACACGCACACACACACACACACACATCATATACGTATAGAAACCAATCCAATTATTTTTGCCATGCTTTTTACCAGGCCCAAAAAAAAAAAACAAAAACAAAAACAAAGAAAGAACAAATAAAAACCATACACAATCCTAAGGCTAAGCTATATATGAATGTATTTGTATGTATTATCCAAAAATGAATATTACAAAAGTAAAAAGTAAAAAGAAACGAAAAATCGAAAACCAAACAAAAAAAATTAAACATTGCACACAAATTAAAAAAAAAAAATTAAAGCAAAAATTGCATTTTCTGTTTCGAGTCGTTTTTTTTTTTTTTTGTATTTAAGCTAAAACTAAAAATCATAATTATAATATAGTTAAAAGAAAATATAAAGAGGCATATGTGAAGCAAGATAATATAAAAGGGCAGCAAACAGATATCTCGTAATACATCTAATTATATAGTATATATATATATATATATATATATATGTATACCAACTATATAAACTGCAAGAGAATGCGAATTGTTTAAGCTGCTTTCTGCAATTGATATATGTGTATGTATGTAACTATGTAACACACACAACCACACACACACACATATATATATGTATAGTGTGTGCACATGTATAGGTTACACACACACGCACACGATGACGTAAATATATAAAGATAATGAAATACGCTTTGGCACTTAAATCTAAGATAAAACACAGTCCTAGCTCCCACGCTCTCGATCTCACTCTCTCTCTCTGTCTCTGTCTATTCCATTTGTCCATTTATCGATAACGATATTTATCGCAATTCGTTAAGTATGTAAGTTCTATGAATCTCCCACCTCTCCCTATTGACCTCCTCCCCCCGCCACCCCCTCTTTCAACGATTTAACTGCACCCCGCTGCTGATTTGCACCTTGCCTAAAAACTGAAACACCAAAAAAAAAAAGCGATAAAATATAGTTGAAAAAGCAGATAAAGAAGTAAGAGTAAAAGTAAAAGTAAAAGAGAGCCACCGCCGCATAATTGTTAACATTGTATCAGTTATTTCGTAGTTGTTGTGTATGTATTGTATGTATGTAAGTATGTAAATGTGTGCTTACTCCAAAACGAACGCGATCGATAAGTCGATAGATCGATAAGTCGATGAATCGATCGGGCGATTGCTCGATTCTTGTTGTTGCTTTGGAGCGCATTCGTTTTCTTATTTCAAAAGCTAGCGTGATATATGATTTTACCTTTTCTTCTTTTACAACACTGTGCAAGCAAAAAGTCCCTCCCCACACCTACCCACACACATACACACACACACACACACATACACACACGCAGGAAATGGTATCCACAGGCTTACAAGAAATATAACTAAATACAAAGCATATATATAAAAATGATAATATACATAAATATATCATATAAAGCGCTTTTACAACACTTATGTATGTTTGTACGTACAACCGCCCCTCTCCCCCCTCTTTACAACAGAATAAGCTAAAGAATTCGCTTGCCTCTTCTCCCATCGGTTCTCAAGTCTTGCCGATCCTTCCGATTTGCAGCTTCAAAATAATAATTCTTTGCTTCTTTATGTCTACTTTTGATTCTGTTATCCAATCAATCCGTTGATATGAAAACCAAAAAATATAGTAAAAATATGAGAAAACGCAAAAAAAAAAAAAACAAAAAACATATGAGTAAAGAAAAGAAAATGATATGAAAAATGAAGTTATAGTTGCCATGTAAACACTTTAGTAGTTTATTATTATAATATTATTAAGTGGAACACATTTTGTTTAAACGAGACATCAATTCGAAACAATTAACACGAAAACGCAGAAGAACAACAACAAGAAGGAAAAAAAAAGGTAAAATGAAAAACAAATATTATAAATATTCAAAAACTGAAATATTAATTTAAATAAAATAATTTATTAATAAACCACATATTATGAAATGACATAAATTCAATGAAACTTGTATTCTTATACTTGCTGACTGATTGACACGCTGATTGATCGATTGACTGCCATTCTCACAGATTTAACTGAATTCCAAGACGAATGTTTCTGGAAATTTTCAATTGCAATTGGTTTGTTTTTTGTGATCTCATAAGATCTAACTTTACAAAGATATTGGAAAACTGATTGGAAATTTGATAAAAAAATACTTTGCTGTTTGTCTTGACTGTTTGTCTTGACT